GACCATCCAAGCTGTACATAAACAGAATACAAGTACCAAACCTACAGAGGAACCAAAAGCCCTACCCTTAAAATGGCTAACAGATGAACCTGTCTGGGTAGGGCATGGCCTATGACCTCCAAGAAGCTAGAGGCTTTAGGAAAGCTGGTCAGGAACAGCTAAATTCTGGACATATTGAAGAATCTACTAGCCCTTGGAATTCCCCTGTATTTGTTATCAAAAAGAAATCTGGTAAATGGAGAATGTTTACAGACCTGAGAGTCATCAATAAAATAATGTCTACAGTCTGGGATATCATTGCCTTCTCTGATACCTAAAGGATGGCCTATTATAGTCATTGATCTAAAAGATTGCTTCATCACTATACCTTTACAAGGAACATTTTGCTTTCACGGTGCCTACCTATAACAATTCTCAGCCTGTTAGAAGGTATCAATGAAAGGTCTTGCCATAGGGAATGTTAAATTGCCTCACCCTGTGCCAATATTTTGTGCAAAAATCTTTGGAAATAATTTACAAACAATTTCCATAATCCATAATTTACCATTATATTGATGATATATTGTTGGCTGATACAAAGGAAGGAATGTTGGAAAAGATATTTGAGACAGTAAAAGAAATTTTACCTCACTGGGGATTACAGATCACCCATGAAAAAATACAAATAAGGGATTCTATCAATTATTTAGGTTTTAAATAGATCTACAAAAAATTAGATCACAAAAAGTACAGATCAGGAGAGATTGTTACCAGACTCTTAATGATCTTCAAAAATTACTAGGAGAGATTTCTCAACTACAGACAATTATTGGAGTATAAGGGCATGATTTGAAACATCTTAAGATTGTCCTAAAGGGGGACAAGGACTTAAATAGTCCACGAATATTATCAGCTGAAGCTGAAAAAGAATTAGAATTGGTAAAAAAGAGAATACTAGAAGCACATGTGGACCATGTGGATCCACTACTAGACTGTATTCTGGTTATTTTACCATCTAGAGAATACCTCTCTGGGATTTTGATGCAGAGGGAAGATATCATACTAGAATGGATATTTCTGCCACATAATAAAAAACTAAAGACATATAAAGAAAAGATCTCTGATTTGATTTCTAAAGGCAAATTAAAGCTCCATCAACTAACTGGAAGGGATCCAGCAGAAATTATAGTAACTTTAACTAACGAGGAAATTTCCTCCTTATAAAGGATAATGAATATTGGCAAAGGGCTTGCAGTAACTTTTTGGGAACAATTAGCAACAATTACCCCAAAATTGAGAGAATCAAATTTATAAAGAAAACAATTTGGATCCTTTCACATATTATAAGAAAAACACCAATCTCTGGAGTCCCTACATTTTACACTGATGCAAGCAAATCAGGTAAAGCAGGATATAAATCAGCAAATATAAGTAAAGTAGTTCAAAGCTCTTATAACTCTGTACAACAAAAGGCCAAATTGTATGCCATTCTCATGGTACTTATGGATTTTACAGAGCCTCTCAATATAGTTACTGACTCTCAATATGCAGAGAGAGTTGTTTTACACATTGAGACCACTGAATTTATTCTTGATGATATGTAAACTATCAGGAATAGGACTCATCCTATATATGTAAAACACACATCAGATCCCTTACAGGTCTGCCAGGTCCTTTAGCACAAGGCAATGATGAGATTGATCGTTTATTAATAGGAAGTGTGCTAGAAGCCTCAAAATTTCATTAAAAAAACATGTAAATAGCAAAGGCTTAAAAAAAGATCTTTCCATCACTTGGCAACAAGCCAAGGAATAGTAAGAAACTGCCCAACCTGTTCATTCTATAATCAAACTCCATTACCAGCAGGCCGTAATCCCAAAGGTATACATAGAAATGAAATTTGGCAAATGGATGTGTTTCACTTTCCAGAATCTGGAAATTTAAAACATGTGGACCACACTATAGACACATTTTCGGGGTTTCAATGGGCCACTGCTCTTAGCTCTGAAAAGGCTGATCCTGTTATCACACACATATTAGAGGTGATGGCCAAACAGCTTCAAAAAGACACCGGACTATAGAAAAAACTTCTGTACTAAATCAGCAGGTGTATTTCAAGGATGTAATGACCTCAGTATGGAAACCAGGATATGTGTTACATTGGGGAAGGGGTTTTGCCTTTGTTTCCGCAGGAGAAGAAAAGCTTTGGATACCATCAAAATTGATCAAGATTCACTCTGAACAGGAGAAATGTAGGGATGAGGAATGATCATCCACAAAGTCATATCCCATAAGGTGCATGGAGACCTCACAAAAAAGGGAAGTGTTTTGTTCTTGTCTTAACAGAAAAACCCATCTCCAAAAAGCAAGAAGACACTAAACGTGTAGATACCTAAAGAAGAGAGGATAGCTATCAGAAAGAACCATCACACAAAGAAGAATCTGACATTTGGTACCAATGTCTAGTTCTCTTAACCTATATCTTTACAAAAATCTATTTCTCTTTACTTCCTAGTACTCTTTTAGTCCCAATTCACTTAAACCAATACTGGCTTTTGGAGGTGGATCTGGCTTTCCTCCTCTAAATCCAAGCATGTTGCTAAAATAAAATTCAGAGTTTCTATATTATATCGAGAAGCCAATTGATGTAAGACAGAAGAAAACAAAATCTATGAACTGTCATTTGTCTATGCTCGGTTCTTTCTCTGAAAGTCTAATTTCCCTCATTATCTTACTTATTGTTGCCTTTCCCAGTATGCATACATATAAAAGTTGAAATTTCTTTGATGACATTAACGTTTATGTCCTCCACAGAGAACAAAGAATTCCCTAACAGCAATCTCTGAACTTTCCATAAAGAAAATGGGACCCTACTTCATTGATTCAACCTGATCCAACTTGATGCATCTGAACTGACATTTACCATCTTTTCCCTACTGTTGACATTAAAGGATAATTTACATTTGTTTAAGGGTTAGTTTTCAGTTGTTTAGGGTTGGGATTAGAAGGTGTTCAGATTTGGGCATCTTTTTCAGGTAAGTTTAATGTTTAGATATACTTTGCATGGGATATAGGTAAATTATAATATCTTCTGATGAATTATAATTCGTTTATCACAATTTGTCATACTGTGTAAGGTCTTTCTATTCACAATGTTTGATGAGTAACTATCCTTATCATCTTCTATATATATATGATTTATATATGTTTAAGACATTTTGCATATTGACACAATTTAGTTTTGTTTTAAGTCTAAACCTTTTCTTTAGACTAAAAAGGGAATTGTAGAGAGAGACCTAGGCACCTGAGCGCTGACCACACCCATTTTGGGCATGGCTACAGGTGTGTATAGGTGTGCAGACTAAAGAGCTGAGGAGAGAGGCCCTTGCCCTCTTTTTAGGGTTCCGGTCCAGTCTCGGAGTGTGACTGAAACTGAATTTCTCGGAGCACCAATCTGGTTATCAGTTTCTCATGTGAGTAGTTTTCCTTAATAAACTGACCATCAATACTCATACCCTATGTATGGTTATCTTTTCTTAACACCTATTACATACAGTTGTTGCATTAATAATACTTCCAAGAAGTTATTAGAGCCTATCTTAGTTACTATTCTGTTGCTCTGAAGAGACACCATAGCCAAGGAAATCTTTATAAAAAGAAGCATTTAATTGGGGTTTGCTTACAGTTTTAGAGGGTTAGTCCAGGATCTTCCTGGCAGGAAGTAGACAGGCATGGTGCTGGATCAGTAGCTGAGAACTTCATATTGTGATCCACAGGCAGTGGCAGAGAGAGAGAGACTGGGTCTAGTGTGTTCTCAGTGAGACACCTCCTCCAACAAAGACACACCTTCCAACCCTTTCCAAACAGTTCCACTAGCCGAGATCCAAGCATTCAAATATATGAGCCTATGGGGCCACTATCATTCAAACCACCACAGTACCCAATACCTTGTAAGCACTCTCAGTAAATGTTACTGTTTTTATCCCACAAGTTATCATCATCCTGTGGATTTTTGACAATATTTCTTTTCATTGTTGGTGTGTTTTTTTTAAGATGATCTTTAAGACAATGACATTTGAAGATCATGAGAAATTTAAGACACTTTGCAAACTACTTCTTGGTATCTTCAAAAAGATGTCAAAAGCAAACAGCAAACCATCGTAAACAAAGACACACAAACCCACAATTAAAAATAAAAGCTGGGAAGAGAGTCAGAGACACCCACACCTCTACTTCCACTGTTGAGAGTCCCACAAGAACACCATGCTATATATACATGGACATATATATATACATATACAAAGGACCTAGCTCAGACCCAAACAGGGTCCATGCTTGCCACTTCAGTCTCTGTGAGCCCTTATGAGCCCTGCTTAGTTGATTCCACAGGCCTTGTTCTCGTGGTGTCCTCAACCCTTGTGGCTCTTGGGACCCTTTTCCTCTGATTGGGTTGCCTTGATATGAGAGTTTGTACCTTGTTAAGCCATGTTTGGTTGATATCCTGAGAAACGTGTGCTTGCACCCTCCCCCTCCTCCTCCCCCCTCCCTCTCCCCCTCCTCCTCCCACTCCCTCTCCCCCTCCTCCTCCCCCTCCCTCTCAAGGAAAACAGAGGAGTAGTGGATCTTTGGAAGAGGAGGTGGGAAATGGACTGGGAGGAATGGATGGAGGGAAACTATGGTCAAGATATAACATATGAGTTATCTAATATATAAGAGAAGACGTTAAAAAAAAGCTGCGTTCACTGGGGTATAGTTATAATCCCAGTGCTCAGTGGAGGAGACAGATCTTGGGATCTTGGGGTGCTCATCAGCCATCAATCCTAGCCTAATCTGCAAGCTCCAGTCAGCTAAAGGACCCTCTTTCAATGGAAAGGTATATGATGCCTGGGGAACAGTATTTGAGGTTGTCTTCTGACCTCCACAATTGCGTGAATATATGTGCACACACACACAATTTAGAAAAGGAAGTATATACCTCTCAACAAATTTGTTTGTATAGGGAAGAAATGAGATCCATGAAAGTAATTTAGAATTTTACTTTGGGTGCAGAGATACAATTCCAGGGTAATCCCCCCCCCAGTTGCTCTCTGACATCTTCTTTTCTATAACAATCCCATGAGAAGAGTCAAAGAGGTACCCAATGAGACAGCAGCACTCACATGGGGCTACTTTCTCTGCCTCTCGGGACTCAGAGGATTTTGTTAGCATAGAGGAACAGCAGGACCTCGGGATGATAATGGCTCTGGAAGAAATCAGAAAAGGTACGTGTGAGGGAGGTTGCCAGGCAGGACACCGGAAGAAGAGGCCTGAGTGGAAGCAGCCAATGACTAGAACTGAGCGAATGATAACACTGTGTATCATCTTTCAGCAATCTTGCCCTTGTACATCACCCATGGACCTTGTACATGGCCCCATTACAATTGCAATACTAGCCTGCGCTATTTCAGGTGGTAGGAGGAGGTAACTTCCTGTTGCACTGGCCTCACTTCCGGTGTTATGTACCTGAAGGTGAGGGACTCCCAGGAGAATACTCTCCTGCCCTGACTCACTCACCAGCTGCCGGGAAAGCCTGGGGTTCCTCTGATCTTCTTCACTTTGGAAACACTGCTCCCTCCTGGGTTTCAGGTACGGAACACAGGCCTGAACAGTCGTTTTGCAAGCCTGAGGGAAAATAACATTGCCCTCCATTTGTCCAAACTTCTAGGGAATTCTAGAATCCCAGGCAGGGAAGGTGATCCCAAAGGACTGTAGCCAATCTAAGGTCAGAACCACCGAGGCTGGGAAAGTAATTTTCAGGTTATTTGTGAGCCTGAAACTTGAAGGATTTCTGCTTGTGAAACGGCTGTGGCTTGGTCTGTGGCACCTGGAGAGGGCACAGCTCTGCCATGAACACACAATTACACTCATCCACAATCTCTCTTCCTCCCCTTCCCCAAAGAGATTTTTGTAGAACTCTTTGCACCTCACCCAGTCCCGTCATCCTTTGGGGACCTGGCCTTACCTATCTAGCCAGCACCAGCAGATGTTGAATTGGGCAGAGACAGGTCAAAGGGGAAGTGGGGGAGACTGCACCCTGGAGGCCCCTTTGCCCAGCTTTACACAGATACCCTAAAGGCCATTGTAACTGGCAGGAACTCCAGAGCTTGGCTTCTCCACTTAGCAGAACTGCTACCACCCCCTCTAGGGACAGCAGAGATTTCACAAAGTGAGCTAAAATGACTGCCTCACCTTGGCAACCCGAGGGCTTTTGTCCTGTAAATGAGTCAGGAGGGAATCCTGTGTCTGGTTAACCTGGTGGGTGAAAAATTTCTTCCATTTCTTCCCAGCAAATGCAGCCAATTGCCCAAACAGAACAAAGGCGGAGTACCGCACATTGTCATTCTCCTGTGGGTTTCCATCAACAAAAACAAAAACAAAAGGGTGGATAACCATCATCAGATCTCCATCAGAGCAGATCACAACCATCATTCTGAGTTGCATATTACAAGTGGACATCACCAGTGTTGATAGGTACACAGGTTTTCCTTTCAATCTGGGAGCGACTTCCATGCTATCATCTAAAAATTTCCTACTTTCACTTCTCAATTCTTTATATCCTTTCCCTCCCTTTCCCATGTCCCCCTTCCTCCCCTCCCCCTCTCCCTCCTCCTCATTTCCTTCTCTTCCTCTCCCCCTCTTCTTCCATCCCATCATTTTAGCCTTATCTCCTCTCCCTACTGAGTTTCTTCTGCTGACCAAGGAGATTTTGTTTCTTCCCCCAATACCCTGGCAGCTCTCCCTGCCTCTACTCGTATCTGTTAGCTGTTCCCTGGGAGACCATCAGCCTCTCTCTCCACACAAACTGTTTGCTCCATACATCTGAGGCAACGAGATCAAGGCTCAGAGAACAGCAGGGTTTGTTCATGCTCGTCCCACAAGATAGGCAGTCAATGTAGGTGCCCAGTCTCCTAACTTTGGTACACAGATTTTTGTTTTCATTGGTTTTGTTTTGTTTGTTTTTGTTTTTGTTTTTTGAGACAAAAGTTCTCTGTATAACAGTCCTAGCTGTTCTGGAACTCACTCTGTAGACCAGGCTTGTCTCAAACTCACAGAGATCCACCTGCCTCTGCCTCCCTTAGTGCTGGGATTAAAGGCGTGCACCACTACTACCCTGCCCATATAGATCAACATTTCGTGATCCTGTCCAGGCACCAAAGAAACCAGAGACAACAAGGGATGGGCCTCTCCTAACGGAAAGAAGCATCTAGAAGTGGTCACAAAGACTGAGACAGCATTGATCATTTTGTGAACTATTAAAAAATAGATTTTAGCATAAGTGACTCATGTAAATTGCCTTGGGGTGGCATTCTGTTTATTGCTCTGTCCAGTGTGTAAGTATGTTTAAATGAAATTTAGTGAGAAGTTACTCCAAGTCAACCCTTCCCTGAGACCTATGTACATGAATACATAAGCCAGGTGCCTGCCTCCTAAAAGTGTAACAATCATCTAGTGGGGGGTACATATCTTGACAAACATGGCATGAAGCCAGCCATGTTTAGTGTGTAACTCTCACATAGATTCTGCCAATAGGTAGTGCTGTGTGAGGATTTCCTTTTCTACACGGCTAAGGAGTCTCCTAAAAAAATGACATGCAAGCTGTGTCTAAAAAGTAGCTGAATAAAAATCAACTGAAGTCTAGTCAGCACCAGAAGGATTTAAGGATATGTCCTCAAGATTTGTGCTGACATCCTAGGGTGGTAATATAGACATCTTCCTATCCCCTCCTCAGACAAGATAGGTTTGCATTCAACAGCAAACATCTAGGCAGGGGTAGTGGCTCATGCCTGTAATCACAGCACTCAGGATCTGAGGCAGGAGGATTACCATGAGATCAAGGCCAGCCTGGGTTATCTGCTGGGTTCCAGGCCAGCATGGGTCATCTCTGCTGAAATATTAACATCTGTCCTTGTGGAGGGATGATGAGCACTGACAAGCATGCCAGCAGCTCTGGTCTAACTCCTGAGTTCTGTAAGCTCAGTGTCTCTCATTTTCTCTGTGTGGCTACGGGCAGGAGTTGGGTGGGAGGGACAGGTAGAAGTTGCTCTGGGTTATGATATGTATGTCTGACAGGTGCTGTCTTTGAAAGAGAGACAGTGGCAGGCTGATTGACACCTGCAAGTCAGTTATGGACTACATGTTGCGCCCAAGCACTGCTTGGTTGATGCATTTTATCTTGTGGCTAACAGGGCAGGGCTACAGGCAGGGCCGCTTTCCCAATGCTTGCTGGCTCTGTGAACTGTAGGTGGGCCCTCATCTTTCTGGGCCTCCATATCCTCATTTTATAATAAAGATCATTGTAGCACCCACCGAAGAGGGTTGTTGTAAGGACTGTATAAGTATCCATGGCAGTTCCCTGGCACTGTGAATGACACACAGGAAGGATTCGCTAAATGCTGACTTGTTACATAGAAGGGAGTACTGAGCACAGACTGATATCATCACATCACTGTTGTCATCATTATTACAATATACACTTGCCTATTGACATGAAAACTCAAGAGAGAGTGATGGGATACTACATATCTTCTATGTTCTCCATAACCCCACCCATAACTCCTCTCTATAAAATTCACAAATTAGTGAGTGATACAGACCTTGTTCCTAAGAAGCACACTGCCCAGGATTCTCATTTCTTTTTGTCTTTTGTTTTTGGTTTTTTTGAGACAGGATCTCTTTATGTAGTCCTGACTGTCCTGGAACTCACTATGTAGACCAGACAAACTTCAAACTCACAGAAATCATCCTGCCTCTGCCTCTGCTGGGGTTAAAGACGTGCACCACCACCACACAGCTTGGGATTCTTTGTAACCCAGGATGATTTCACAGCCTAAGATTTTATGCTTACCCTTCTCACTTACATCATCCAGTAAAGTCCTGGTCTGAAGGGTGATGTCTATGAAGAAGGAGCCCAGGCCTTGGCCCTGGATCTTGCCCAGCATGATGGTCAGAGTCTTCACACTCTCATGGATCACTTCAGAACTCACAGGATCATACAGTCCATGCACCAGGAGGTCAAGGAAAGCTTTCTTGTACTTTCTCACCTGCTATCAAGGTTGGAAAAGCATTAGCATCACACACATACGCCACACACATACACCACACATACCAAACACATGCACACCACACACCACACACACACACATATATACACACACATGTACTCACAAACACACACACATGAAAATATACACACATGGACCCACATATACCACCCACCCACACACTCACAAATACATTATAGCACACTAACACATGTGCACACATGCACACTCGCCACATACACACTCACAAACATATTCTCACACATTGACACTCACATACCACACACACACACCACACACTCACATACACATTCTAATACACTGATACACACACTCTCACATACATACACACACTCACACACACACACACACACACACACACACGCACAACTCCATCCCTAATCTTCTAGTAGCCATAAGTTGGGGGTTGAAAGGCCCTGACTTTCTTTTCCTTCTTTAAATTACTATTTTTAGCTAATGTAAAAAAAATAATGGGTTTCATTATGGCTTTTTAACATCTGTATCATTTTAGTTCATTCATGTTCATCCACCGCTATCCTTCCCATCCTCCCTTCCCCTTCCTCCTGACAAGTAGTTCTCTCTCTGTTCACATCATCCACATGTGTAACATGTAATAAAATAAATATATATGATATGCACACACTTTCCTCCGACTTTGCCACCAAATCTTATCCAAACACAAATGTCTCTCGTAACCCAGCCCAAGAGCCTTCCTAGGTCTTAGGAGGACAGGACAGAAAGGACAAATGGGAATGAGGCCTCCGAGTGATGGAGTGGGGGAGGAGGTAGGTGCTTCAATAGCACAGGGTGGACAAGAGTGTCCTGGGCCCTTCCGAGGGCTCAGTGCCTATAATTTATAATGGAGAGGACATAAAATGCTATCGATGTGGACAGGCACTAAGGATAGGGTATGAGAGTGTCTCTCACTAAACAAACACAAATTATGAGGAAATCATTTAAACTCTCAAGGAGAGTGATATGAACCAGTAGCTCCGTTACCCAAGGTTGACAGAGATGAGGCATGCTGCCACGTCCCCCTCCCTGCAACGACCTCGAGTGAGTCACACACACCCTTATATAATCTGTTCTTCTCCCGTGTAAAAAGAACCAGTGGCTTGCTTGTAGCCTGATGTGACAAAAGTAGTCAGATGCCTCTCCTGGTTGCTAAGCTACATTATATAAGACTCCTGTAGAGTGGACAGGCGTGAGAGACACCTTGAATAGATAGATTGTCATGTTTTGAGAGTATGGATCCTGGGTACCAGGAGTAGCCCCCAGGAGACAGCCAGCAAGAGAAGGGAAACCTCAGTCCCACCACTGAAAGAGCCAGCTCTGCAAAAGCCACTCTTAGAAAAGTGCCCTGAGCTTTCGAAAGACACAGTCTAGCCAACAGTGGTTTGCAGCCTTGTGAGAACCTGAGCTCTATGCTCAGGCCCCTGAACACAGATACCACTGTTTGTTGCTAGGTCTGTGTGACTTGTTGCAATGCTAGCCATCCATGGGCACCGGCTCCAGCTGTGGGGACTCCATGCCCCTGGAGCTGAGAGTCTTGGGAAGGCTGTCTCAACTCTACCTCTCCCTACCTTGTCAGGGGCTTCACAGGCCAAGGTGCCCAGGCCTCTCATTGCCAGGTAGCGCTTTTTAGCATTAGGATCCCGGGCTCTTTCTGCCAAGATGAAAAACACATTCTTCAAAGGCTCCTGCTTCTGCAACCTCAGTTTCCAGGAGACCTGGGTGGTGGTTCAAAAGTGTGTTAATTCAGAGGCTGGGAAGATGGCTCAGTTGGGAAAGTTCTTGCTCGACAAACATGAAGATCAGAGCACCCGCATAAGATTCTGGGTGCAGGCAGTGCGTGCCTAGAATCTCAGCACTGGGAAGACAAAGAAAGAACTCTGAAGTTCACTGGCCAGGCAGCAGAGCCAAATCCAGTGAGAGAGAGTGCGATGAAAAACAATCTGATTCTGGCATCTGGCTTCACAGACACACACACACACACACACACACACACACACACACACAGAGAGAGAGAGAGAGAGAGAGAGAGAGAGAGAGAGAGAGAGAATTAATCAATTCAAATGGATTCAACTCCAAACATTTCTCTCTAAAGAAAATGCTGTTTTGCCTGTTCAAATTTCTCTTTCCTTCTAAACTAAGACAACTAAACATGCCTGTCTGTCTGTCTGTCTGTGTACATGTGTCGGTGTGTCGATGAGGATTAAAGCAGGCCTCACTTTACCACTAAGCTACACTAAGTTTTAAAGATGATTTACTTTTGTCAACCAATACATTTGTCTACAGAATGAAGGTGCTGGTGGAGGAAATAATACAGGGCTGGTGTTGAGGTGAGTGGGAGTTCTGGAGAGAGACACACAATGGTGAACTGTATGACAGAGACTAAGAGGAAAGAGACACAGGTCCCTTTTATAGTGTGTGCTATGCCGTTATTTCTCCTCTCTGGAAAGTTCCCTGACCCTCTTCCTCCTCCAGCCGCTCCTCATCCTTCTGCTGTCCTTTTAGCTAAATAAATGAATACCTGTATGATACCTGCTTTATCCAACTCCTCTCTTCCATTTCTGTCTTGATACTTCTGCAGTCAGGCTGATGTCCCTGCATGTCCATCCAGCTGTACGATGAATCCTGAGAGACTTTTCTCAGTAGTTACTGTCCTCAACCCCTCACTAGCATGTGACTCAACTGGCAACATGTCAACAAATACCAATTACACATCTATAAATCTTTCAGGACATTTCAAGGTTGTCCCAATTTCTGAATCCATGGATCTGGGCAAAGAAAAAAGGAAGAAGAACAACAAAAAGAAGGAGGAGGGGGAGGAGGTGGCAGAGGCAAAAATAATACAGTGGGAAAACACTGCACTTCTATGCAAAATCCTATACTTCTAAAACTAAATGCTAAGTAGCTGCAAGATAAGACATAGAAAAGACAGAAGATAGATCAAGATATAGGCCACCTTTCTCATGATCAGATGAGCTGCCTCCCTAGTGAGCAGATGAGTTCCAGTAATGAGAAGGCACTAGTGTTCTTCAGGACACAGAACATGGCAGCCCACCTTAGAGTCAGACCCCAGATGATGTAAGAGCCCGACAAGGGACCAGGGAGATGATGGGTAAGACACTTGCTATGCCAGCATAAGATCTGAAGTTGAGTCCCATGTAAAGCCAGGCACAACAGCACTTGTCTATAATCCCAAGATGGGAGGTGGAGAATCTCCAGGCACGTGAGATGGCTGCTGTATGGTAAACAACAAGAAGACAGCCCTGGTCTCAAAAGATGTAGAAGGTGAGGACAGACGTCCAAGATTGCTTCTGACCTCCACATGTGTGTCATGATGGGAGAACACCTGCATTCATTCTGGAATGGACTGGGGCCGGGTAGGGGGGAAAAGACGGGGAGACAGAGAATCAAAGACAAAGGCTAGCCCCATCCTTAGGAAGCAGGAATGGATGCAGGGTCCAGATCAGGCAGTGTGCTCAGCACTGTGGATGAGACATTGAAGCTTTCCAGCATCTTATTTCTGAGTATTTATTGCAGTTCACTTTTTAATTTTTGGGTTAGCAGCAAGCTGAATCATTCTCATCTTCTCATAAGCATCCTCTATTCTTGCCATTACATGGCTTCCAGAAGGAACCCAAGCAAGCAGTTGTAAACACAGAGCAAGTGGGTACACATCTTACACAGTGTCCCAGGACTGTGTCTGACCTTGGAAAAGAAAGATCGCACCAATGTCCTTTTCTTCTTGGGCTGGGAAGTAGGGGTAGGACGGGGTTGGCTCAGGACTCGCTGTGTTTGTTCCATGAAACTAAAAAGGGGGAAAAATGAACAAAATCACCATATGAGCCACAAACACGCACTTGAAGTGTCACAGTGTCAATCAGCCTAGCTGTGTGGAGTGTGCCCTGTTGCGGAAGAACACAAAGACAGTGGAAGTTTTCACCTTGGTGATGACCTAGGGGTCACAGGACAGGGTCAGAAACTTTCAAGACAGACCCTTAAGGCTCCTGGGGGTCATTCCTGTAGTCCCCACTCCTCCATTCTATAGGCTCATTGTATCACAATTATTCAAGAGATAAAATTCAGATTCTTGCCCCCCCACAGAAACCTCAAGAAATTTTTTGTTTCTTAAAGATCCCCCAAAATAATGGTGGCACTTTTTGGGGCAGACAGGGTCTCATGGAGCTCGTGGTGACCTTAGACTAGCTTTGGAGAGGAGGATGGCCTTGAACTTCTGATCTCCCTGCCCCCACCTCCTAAGTTCTGGCATTATAGGTGTGGGCTACCATGCCTGCTTCATCTGGTGGTGGGAATGGAACCCAGGGCTTCATGCATGCCAGGTATTAGGGTTGGTTCTAGTGTCAACATGCCACAAATCAGAAGCTCCTGAGTAGGGGACCTCCCCTGAAGAGTGTTCCTGATTGCCTTGATGGGCGTGGGAAGGCCTGCCCTGATTACAGATGACACCTTCAGGTAGCAATCCAGATTAAGAGGGATGTCAAAAGGAAGACAATCTTGCTTTTGGTGCGCTCCTGCCTTCCCTTTTGGGAAGGAGTTAATTTGTGCGGTTGTTGCTGCTTCCAATTCTTACACTGACAGCAGGGCCAGCATTCCCAGGCTTCTGTCCTGCACTAGGGACCAGTGGCACCAGATGGAGGCTTCAGAGACACACAGCCGTGTAGACTGAGCAATTCCCATTTGTGCCTCCCCCTCCTCCATGAGAGACGGCAATTGTGAGACTACTCTTACTGCTGAAGCCTCCAGCCTCAAGGACGGTGCAACCACCAGCTTCTCAGCTAATGTACCCTGAAGACTTGGTTCAGGCTTCTGTAACTCAAGAGCTCTGTGGGCTGTGGGAGAAAAGCTTCTACTCCAGGGCACACATAGGAAACTGTAGGTTGTGTATGGGCATCTGGAACAGGTCAGTTTTATTACTCAGATCAGTTTGTTTTCTTATACATTTCTCCAAAGATGCTAAGATATTGCTATCTTATTTTTGCAGAAATGTCCAAAAGTCTCATACACAGAGTCACCACATTCTACAAGAGGAGAATCAGGATCATCAAATGTAGTTGATAAGGTATTTAATTCATGCACACCATGGATTTTCAGTGCTGAGGAGTCTTTAGTGACGGTAAGCTCCATCCAGCCAGATGCTCTAGACCCACTAGAGAATTCACTGACTACCTGTGAGCCCACCAGGAGAGCTCAGTTTTACAATTCATTTTCTCCAACCCCATTCCCAGTATCATAACTTGTTTTAGTCAGGGTCTGCTAGGGGAAAGAGGATGTGTGTGCACACCACACACACACACACACACACACACACACACACACACACACACACACACACGGTGATGGTTGGGGGTTTGAATGAGAATGGCCCCCATGGCTCACATATTTTGAATGTTTGGTTCCCAGTTGGTGGAGCTGTTTGGGAAGGACTAGGTGTGTCCTTGCAAGTGATGTGTCACTAGGGGGTGGGCTTTGAGTTTTTAAAAGCTGGTGCCATCCCAGTGTGCCTCTCTCTGCCCTATGATAGTTGTCTCAACATATAAACTCTCAGCTACTGTTCCATTGCCACGCCTGTCTGCCTGCCTGCTGCCATGTTCCTTGTCCTGATGATTGTGGGCTCCAACCCTCTGCATCCCTAGGCACCAAATAAATGTTTTCTTTTATAAGTTGCCTTGGTCATGGTATTCTGTTTCAGCAACAGAAAAGGTGTGTGTGTGTGTGTGTGTGTGTGTGTGTGTGTGTGTGTGTGTGAAGTCACAAAAGTCAGTTTTAAAATAGTAACAGCTAAATAACATCCACAGTGCATGCCTTTAATCTTAGCACTTGGAAGGCAGAGACAGCAGGATCTCTGGGTGTTTGGGGTCAGTCTGGTCTACAAAGTGAGTTCCAGGACAGGCTCCAAAGCTACAGAGAAACCCTGTCTCGAAAACCCAAAATACATACATATCACTCAAGAAACTGAGAACTCGGTAATTACTCGATCCTTGGGGCTGGGTCATCCCACAATAGTTGTCTCTCACTGGGGTGGTGGGCAGGGTGGACAACAATCTACCAGGTCCGTGCCTCAGTAGCCCCAATCTGGCACCAAAAGCCTAGAAGGTTCCTGGAGAGTTGCTGGTGTCTGTTCTATAATGAGTACTTGGAAACACTTGTTATGCTATCCTTGAAGGAATCAGCAGCAACAACACGGCAAATCAACTTGGGAAGGCTCCATTAGCTCTATTAGCAAGAGATGAAACTACTTCTTTCCAACAAACCCTTTGTGTGTAGCTGCTACCAGAAAACAAACAACACCAGGCTCATGTGACAAGTACAGGTTCTAACTCAGTGGATCTGGGTAGGAGCTCCAGATTCCGATTTCCATCCAAGAGACGTTACGTCAGTCAGCTTCCAATCACTATGATGAATGCATTGATCTTAGTCCATGGATGGGCTCAGAGCTCTCCTGGTAGAATCACTTCCCCAAAACCCCACCTCTGAGTATTGTTGTCTTTGAGGATCAGGTTTTCAACACATGAGCCTTGCAATGGCATTTCACATGCAGTTCACAGAATACATGAACTCTGTGGTGAGGGACCACAATTTTAGCAGTGAAGGGTGTCACTTAAGGGCACAGTAATAGCTATTGAGAGGAAACTGTGGGTGGGAGCTGCTGGCAGAGGCCTCCTGCTGCACACAGGTGAGCTGGGAGACAAACATACGGCATTCTGGGTTGCAATAGGATTCAACATGTTTGGAATGATTATTAAAAGAATTTGGGAGTGGCCAAAGACAAGGGTAAAGGGCTAAAAGGCCACTATAGAGGACTCTGGCTTTGTTTTTTATCATGCTTTACAGGTAAGAGTACACAGCTAAATTCCTTAAGTTGAACTGGAATCCATGTAAGAGGTAGTTCACTGACTTTAACAACACTGTCCCCCAAAGCCATGTACCCATTAAACAATTATTGCCCTACTCCAACCCCTGTCACCCCAGCCCCTGGCAACCATGAATCTGCTTTCCATCTCGGTGACTTTACCCATTTGTTTTACATAGTATGAAATCATTTTGATGTTTTTAAAAGGCCCATTCACATTGTAACATATATGAGCACTTCATTCCGTTCTTATGGTTAAATAACACTCCATTACATGGAGATACTATTTGTTCATCTATTCATCTCTTGATGGCCAATTGCTTTGTTTCCACTTGACTACTACAAAAATAATGTTTCTATAAATATTTGTGTACAAATAATTGTTTGTGTATAGACTTTCACCACCCTGGGGTATACACACCCAGAGTGGAATTACTAGATAAGGTAATTTTATGTTTAATTCTTTTGACCAAGTAGCAAACTCTTGAACATATCACCAAATTCAAGGACACGAACATTTACTGTTACAGTCCAAGTGTTCAGTAGTTACATTTAGGTCATTGCATGTGGGGTGTTGGTTTGTTTTGTTTTGTTTTTTTGAGATAAGGTTTCATTGTGTAACCCTGGCTGGCCTCAAACTTGCAGCAATCTTTTTGTCTCTTCCTCCGAGTGCTGGAATCACAGCTGTGCACCACCAGACTCAGCTTCAGCCATGCACTCTGAGCCATGGTGTGAGGGACAGTCCCTCTTTAGTGGCCACTGGCTATGGAGCATTCTGTGGTTCTAACAGGTGAAAAGGCCGGTAGATGTCTGCAGGTGGTTCTCACCCCTGGATGTATCAGGATTACTGGCAGCATTTTTAAAACCCTGGCTGCCCCAGGTCAAGGCTGTCATCTCTGGAGATGGCCTCAGCATCAACTCTTTTTCTCTTTGTTAAGATGGTCACACAATCTAACAGCCAGTCACTGAACTAAAATGACCAGACACCTGCCTTGGTTTTCCAAGGGCTGAGGAGTTTCCTGAAGTCAAGGGGTCCAGAGCAAACTAGGACACATTCCCACCCAGCAGATCCCAGCACGTTATGCCGTTTGTTGGGTTGAATGGAGAGATAGGTGGGGACCGTTTTCCCTGTCACTTTGGTTTTGAGCATGCTTTCCTGGTCAGAAGGCAAAAGGAAGTCATGAAAACACATCTTCTAGTTATAGGTAGGTGCCTGTCTTAGTTAGGGTTTCTATTGCTGTGAAGAGACATCATGACCAAGGCAACTCTCATAAAGGAAAACATTTAATTGGAGGGGCTCACTTACAGTTTCAGAGGTTCAGTCCATTATCATCATGGCAGGGGGCATGGCAGCCTGCAGGCTGGAGGAGCTGAGAGTCCTACATCTTACAGGCAACAGGAAGTCAACTGAGACACTGGGTGGTATCCTGAGCATAGGAAACCTCAAAGTACACTTCCGCAGTGACACTTCATTCAACAAGGTCATACACACTCAACAAAGCTATGTCTCTGATTATAATCTCCCTATGAGATTATAGGGGCCAATTTCATTCAAACTACCACAGTGCCCTGTTGTAGGATATCTGTTCACACTCACACTCCAAGACTGCCAATAAAGTGGACTTGAATCAAAGGGCAGAGTCAATGACTGGTTGACTGGAATTAGCCATAGAGGTTTGGGAGGACTGAGATATGGGGACACAGAAAGTAATATGGAGGGCTTTTACAATCTGTGGAGGTGTGGAGAGTCAGGGTTAACTGACCGTTCCTCCATTGCTCTTTGGATCTGTCAGGTTTTTACCACAATATTTGACTCCCAAGTTTTATTTAATAATAGAACAATATTATAAGTAATCACTTCAGTGCCCAATGGCTGCTGACAAGGGAGAAGCCATTTCCTCCAGGCACTCACTACTATTAGGTTGCACAATACACAAATACATGTATCAGCCCTGGACACATGTGCAAGAGCAATGCTAAATGGACTCAGTAGGTTGTATATGTGTGTGTGTGCATATATGTATATACATGTAACAATAGTAAGTAAAGAAGAGAACATAGATTTTGGAGGGACAGTGGAGACCACAACACAAGAGGAATTAAGGGAAGAGAGAGGAACGGCAGTGATACAGATACAGTGCTCATTCATGAAGTTCTCAAGTATTTAATGAACAAAAACACCTCTTCACTCCCTAGCCACTGGGCCCCTTGTCTCCTTTAACTCTGGTCAACAGATCTTCCGTGTTCCTACAATGGGAACTAAAGTCAAACATCAGAAAAATGGAGATGAGGAAATGGCTCAGTCAGGAAAGTGCTTGCTGTGCAAGATGAGGAGCCGAGTCTGAATCCAGAAAAGTCACAGGAAAGCCAGGCATAGCAGAGCAGTCTTCTAATTCCAGCACTGGGGAGGCAGAGAGGAGGATCCCTGGGGCTTGCTAGTCAACCAGTTTAGCCATATCGGTGAGTTACAGGTTCAGTGAAAAACCCTGTCTCAAAAAGTAAGGTGGTGAGCAACTGAGGAAGACCCCTAATGCCAACTTCTGACCTCCACATGCAGGCACACACATGCATATATACACACATCACACATGCACAAGAAACCACACACGCACGTGCACACACACACAGACACACATGCACACATGCACACACACAGGATTTCACATTGTCCAGTGGTCCTCACACTTGAGCATGCGTCAGAAGTGCCTGGGGGCACTTATTAAACCACACACACTCCAGGCCTAGTGCTCTGAGTTTCTGATTTTGCACACTGGAACAGGCAGGCAGCCTTACTAATCTGTATTTCTAGTAAACTCTCAGGTGGTAGTGAGCTACCACTGGCCTGGGAGCCACACTTTAGAACTATCATAATGAGAGAAAGAAATCACAGCATTGAAAGGCTGTCTCCTCCAGAATAAAAGACTTACAAACTCATACTGAGACAAACTAGAAAACAACAAAAGAAATGTGCAGTTGCTTCTGGGGTTTCCTCCAGGAAACTTCATGTTTGACTAGAACCTGTTACTGATTGGGTAGGACACTCTGCTTCAGAGTCAACAGATACCTGGCCATGGCAGGTTGCTGGTAACTGTAAAAGCACTAATCCGATAGGCTGGGGCCCACTCAACAAGGAGGCCATGCGCAGTTAGCATGAGTGGAGTTACTCTCAGCTGGGCAAGAAAACAAGCTATCGCTTGTTTCTCATGCTCAACTTCTTTCTGCAAGAGCAGCAGAGCCACAAGGATGATGCTAGCCAGCCAAGACAGCTTCCCCCAGTTTCAGAAACCAAGCAGCAAGCCCGGTCCTAATAGGCAGGACTAGAATTCTAAGTCGTGGAATGGCCCCAAGCAGGGCAAAGTGAAGGAAAAGCTGAGAGGTTCTTCCTGGGAGATACAGCACCCACAGAGAGGCACGCACTGGTTCCTTCTCTAGCTTGCCACTTGTTCTAGCAAGCCCTCTCCAGTGTCCCTGCTTCTCCTCAGGAGACCAAAGCAGTGATCTCCTGTCAGCTGTCCAGTTGCCCTCCAGAGCCCATCTTAATCTTGAACACAAACTTGAAGGTGTTTTCCACGCTGACAGGGGAGCCTTCTACATCAGTATCCCTAGAACTTATCAGACCCCAGGCCCACTTCAGAATTGCTGGACCAGAATCTCAGGGAACCAAGGGCCCAAGTGTCACACTTTTTGTACAAGACTCTTGGTATCCCTAAACAAATGCTAGTGTGTGTGAATCCAGGGTACCATCCCAGGCTACATGGAGAGACTCTGTCTCAAAACAAAATGAAGTAAAAACAAGTGAGAAGAAGAGGCAAGCAGGGTGTGGTGGTGCACACTTACCCTCAAAGCTTTCAGACAGCAAAAGCAGAAAGGTCACCAGTTCCAGAAAGGTCGTGGCTCTAGAACAATACCTTGTCTCAAAAAAATAAAGACAAATAAGTAAAACAAACTCATACTTAAAGGCGTCTTCACAGCCCCAACGCCAGCAACACCCTCAATACCAGCAGCTTCCCTCCAAGAACTGTAACCTTTACTCCCCACCCAATCACAACCCAAGAGTCATCTCCACCTGTGACAACACAAGCTGTCTGAAAGAAACACAGTAAACAAACTTCTGATGAATGCGGGACACAGGGTCCTGGTCACCTCCCAGAGTCTCGAAACAGCCGTTTCCTACTAGAGGTAGGCTTTACTGTTGAGCTGAGTAGGAGTAGGCTAGGGAGCCGAGGAGGAAAAGGCCTGGACCCCTGGAGCTGAAGACAAGAGTGACTCACACTCATTTTATCCCTTTACACACTGCTTGCTTCACATGCACCTCTGAATGTGTTTCCATTGTATACCATGCCCAGAATCAAGGTTTTCACTACCCCCAAGATCATCAACATGTCACCGTATTGCCTAGTCCTACAGAAAAGCCATTCATCAGGGGTCCTGGAAGTCTTTCAAGCAGTATTCTAACACATTTATGAGCATAAATCCATGAGACTCAAATATTAGCTTCATGAGCTAATATTTTATGAGCTGAAGCCACAAGGCATTTTATGAAGACCCAGTTTACACACAGATGCATTTTTTCTCTCATCTGTAAAATGGGGCAAACTTCTAGATTTCAAACTACTCTTTGAACTCTGAACTCACTAGCTGTGCTAATATGGATAGCTACTGATGGTAGATAAGGCACTTTTGTTTCCAAGGCATTCAATCAAGCACTTTAAGGGTGGGGCAGGGAGTACTTATCCACCTGTTAAACTCAGGCTGAAGGCTAACTATGATTCTCCAGGCCCCTTGAGAACTTTGTCACCCACTGCAGTGGTGATGCTTCTCACTACTTCTGCTCCATGGTGGGGACACGCTTCCCAAGAAACAGTTCACACCTGTAACCTGTCACTGCACCCGTGAAACTAATTAGTTTACTTCATTATTTATTGGTGTGCAAGGGATCAAACACCTGAAAGTGTCTGAGTGTACGAGGAGAGGAAGCCGTTCTCTGAAAGCAAAGTTGGCTGTTCTAGGCTGGCTTCACGATGGGAAGTGGTTAAAATATTGCTGCATAATTGAGTTGGAAGACAGACAAAGTTTGAGGAAAATCGTGGCTATCCGGGGTAACTTTTTGAATTGAAATGATGTTGTAGGTAACCTTGAAAGTTTAAGTTCTTGCTAGAGTAAAACAAACCAAAGCTAAAAATGACATGACATTTTGTGTGGTTTGCAGAAGAAAACATCTCAAAAAAAGCCAGCTGGTAGATTAATGTTCAAAAAAGGCCATGTCCTGAATTAGTAGGAAGTCAGGTGACATATTGGTGGTATTAGCTTTCATGTGTCTCTAACTAGCTTCTTTATTAATTAAATACAGGCCCACCAGCTCAAATAGAAGAATTTTTATCATATTTCTTTTAATTTTCACATTTTCTTGACAGACAGGCTTCATTATCTTCTTTTAAGAGAGAAAACAAAACCCTGGGGTTTGGGATAACATAAAATAACTCATCCAAACTCAAATGGCAATGGAGTTCAATATTCTGTATTCCCTCCACTTTTTTCTAAAAACAAAAAATTTTTTTTAGCTTTTTAACTTTTCAACTGCTCTTGAATTTGCATTCCTTCTGCCCTAACCTCACCCAGGAACTGGAGTCAAAGCTGTGCACCACCCCAGCAGTCTTATGTCTATGACATTACTGTTGGTAACCTGTACTGGCCTGCCCTTGGGGTTCTGACAAGATACACCCTCAGCTGCAGCCACTAAGAGCACCACCTGTGCATATTCACTATGTTCCCTTCTAAAGGGGCCCTGTCCACCTCCCCTCTTCTCCATCCCTCTCCCCCTCCCTCTCTCCCTTCTCCCCCACTTCTCTGACTGTCTCTCTGTCTGCACACCTCCTCTCTTTTCTTTTCTGCTGCTGTTGTCCTCAGAGGCCAGTCTCCCTGTTTCCTTCCCCTCCTTTCCCATTCACTTTACCCTAATCAAAACAAAAAACAAAAACAAACAAACAAAAACCCTCCACCCAAGCTCTGTCATATGATGTCTTTCTCCCCCATGCACTGCGTTTTTAAATGACAACAGTTACCATCCTAACCTGAAAACTCCTGGACAGCTAACTCCCTGTGTGCTGACAAGTGTGCAGACACTGTAGTCTGACGCATCCAGTTTCTCTTGGGCCTTCCTACACTAAAGCTTTCTGCTAAAATACAACCCATAACCCATCTAGTGACTGATTTGTATAGTTTATTAATAGAAAAAATAATAAACGGCTCGTGGGTCTGTTATGGTCCACTCCCATCTTCCAAAGAAAACATTCCCAGATAGCAACATTCTTGGCATTCAATTCCCTCCAGTGTCAGTGGCCAGAGCATATTCCAGGACGCATGTGGGAACCAGGGCGCCTGCACGTCTGCTCAGTCAGGGTTGAGTCACCTGCAGTCACCTTACCTGGCTCCTGGAGTGGCTGTGACGTGAGGACTTGCTATTGTCAGGTTGGAGGCTGGTCTGGGACACCTCAGGAGGCACTCTGTTCCAGCTGTTCTGGACTGGCCACCAATTCCATAGGGGAGAGAGAGAGAGAGAGAGAGAGAGAGAGAGAGAGAGAGAGAGAGAGGGAGAGGGAGAGGGAGAGGGAGAGGGAGAGGGAGAGGGAGAGGGAGAGGGAGAGGGAGAGGGAGAGGGAGAGGGAGAGGGAGAGGGAGAGGGAGAGGCAGAGGCAGAGGGAGAGGCAGAGGGAGAGGCAGAGGGAGAGGGAGAGGGAGAGGGAGAGGGAGAGGGAGAGGGAGAGAGCGAGGGAGGGGGAATGAGAGAGAGAGAGGGAGAGAGAGAGAAGAGAGAGGGGGGGAGAGAGAAGAGAGAGGGGGGGAGAGAGAAGAGAGAGAGAGGAGAGAGGGGGGAGAGGGGAGAGAGAGAGAGAGAGAGAGAGAGAGAGAGAGAGAGAGAGAGAGAGAGAGAGAGAGAGAGAGAGAGAGAGAGAGAGAGAGAGAGAGAGACCAGAAGGTGAAGAAGGATCGTCTGGGAATTTGGAGCCAGCAGAGAATAAGAAAGCCAGACCAATAGGAGAGGTATTAAGGCCCGGGGGCGGGAAGAGGGGCGGAGGGAGTGGGGTGGAGGGGACAGGGACCAGGCTGCCCTCCAATGACACCCACAAAGTTGTCCTTCGTCGACCCAAGGTGCTGCGCCCTTTGCGCCTCCACATCGCCGCAGTATCTCCTACCTGCTGCTTGCTGTGCCTGCCCCTCATTAATTCCTCCTGCCCAGTCCCACCCACACTTTGTGCAGAAAGAATGGCAATTCCGAAAACTTTCACCCTCCCCAATGCACGCACCGCCCGGCGTCATTTCCCCATGCTGCCAGTAGATGGCGCCATTCTTCCAGTCAAGGGTTCCAGAGTTCTGGCCACCTCTCCCCACATAATCCAGTTACAGAAATGTTTAATCTAAGGAATGGATGCTGTCCTCAAGCCAAGCAGCCTCGTTGTAACTGACTGTCGCACTAACAATTTTAACTACTAATGCCGCCTCTTGCTCTGTAAATGCCATATGTCCAGAAAGGAGTGATTCAAACACTGAACAACTTAAATCACTTATTAGTTAAAAAAACTGAACAACGAGACTTCTACTGCTACTGAAGTCTTCTAGAGCCTCCCTCGGTGTCACCTCTCCTTCTCTGAACTCTGTCACCACGTGCATGAATCTTTGCATCAATAAATTGATGCAGATATTTACTGACTGACTCTGTGTGGGATGAGGAGGGTAAATGACCTTAAAGGGGCAGGAGTAAGAGGAAGGCAGTCCGTTTTCACAGTTTTGAGAGCCTGTTATACTAACAGGTAACATTCATGGATACTTCGTCATGATAAGCTTTAATGTAAATATTACATTAATTTTCCATTTAATTCTGACACTGAACCAAGGAAACAGTACTGCTTATTAACCTCATTTTCATGCAGTTAGTGGCAGGGTGGGAACTCCACTATAGGCAGCCAGGATGCTGCTATGCAATGGACCAGTTTAGAAAATCCAACTGGGCGATAGGTGGATAAATATAAACCATGTAAGTACATCAGAGGACGGGAAGGGAAATCAATGGTCTAAAGAAAAATGAAGATGAAACAAAACCCTTTCAGGGCTGTACTTTGAGGATTCCACAGTTGACCTTTGAGATGCAATTTCAATAGGACAAGGATAGAAATAGCACAGGAAGATGTGAAGGGACATGTGGGTGGCACCGGAGGACACCTCTGGGGAGCCGAGTGGTGCCCCCTGGCTTTGACTGAACTAGGAGGCAATCACAGGAACAAAGGGATGTCTACATGAAATGAGAACGCCTGTGGATTTGCAAGTTCAGGTCTTCCAAATTAGCTTTAATCTTTTGGTGAAATCGGCAAGAATAGGAATAAGTTTTTTAAAGGCATCATCCAGAGGGACTGGAGAGATGGCTCAGTGGTTAAGAGCACTGACTGCTCTTCCAGAGGTCCCGAGTTCAATTCCCAGCAACTATATGGTGGTTCATAACCATCTGTAGTGAAATCTGGTGCCCTCTTCTGGCCTGCAAGGATACATGCAGACAGAACACTGTATACATAATGAACAAATAAATAAATCTTAAAAAAGACAAGACATCATCCAGATGCTAAACAAATGACCCACTGTGATTAGCAAGCCTTCTACCACTGAGTCATGTCTCCAGCCCTAGCTGGTACCCTATTAATGGGTCCTTCTGTCTAATGATACCCTGTATCCAAACTTAAAGACATTTGACAGAGTATAATGTTCTCTCTCTTGCCAAATGGAAAACTAATCTGCACTGCTTCATTGTCTGCTTAAAGTCACCAGGGAAACGGGACTGAAACCAGCAGTGATGGGCCTGGGACTCAGCATTCCCAGTGTGTGTCAACATGTAGAGACACTTTATCAAAACAGAATGTCCAAGAGAACCCAAGACTCTTCTTCCACAACCTTACACCACTGTAAGATTCTGGGGTTTAGAAAAACCTAATGATTTGATTGTCACATAATGATGTTTGGTTAATATGCTGTCCTTAAAAAATGGCACGCTATAATCATTTCATTATTCGATAGCTCTATTTTTATCCTCTATTGATATCTTCATTTTGTCAGAGATATGCAGGGGCCAACACCACTAGAAAATTAAGCCACCAAAAATAATTATTTCTCCCAAGTTACTGATGAAAAAGGCAAAACAAATCATTAGACAGTTCACTTTCCATTGAGATCTGTGAAACCGGAGACAAACGACCTGTCAAAATGGCTTCTCTCTAGTTTGGCATTGACAGGAGAGTTTTCTGCCTGAGTGCGCAGTGTCCAATCAGAAATGTGTCCACTCAGAAGGCACTTGAGTTTCCTGCCTCTCACCTTACTTCAGGAAATGCTAGGCCAAGCCTTGTCAAAGACTTTCACTCCTAAAGAGAGGGAAGGGGCAGGGGTGGAACTCAGGGCCAAGCTCTTGGCTTCTCAGATATTCATGCTTCATTCATCAAGTGTTTATCTGATTCTACTTTTTTTCCAAGACAGGGTTTCTCTGTGGCTTTGGAGGCTGTCCTGGAACTCGCTCTGTAGACGAGGCTGGCCTGGAACTCACAGAGATCCGCCTGCCTCTGCCTCCCGAGTGCTGGGATTAAAGGTGTGCACCACCACCACCTGGCTGACCCAACGTCAGGCTGTTCGGCAGGTGAAGCCAACACTCATCCTGCCCCCGGAAACCTACCAGGAGAGGACTGGAGGTAGAATAAATGGTGTCCCTGCCAGCACAGAAGTTGCTGATCAAGAACCACGAGAGGCAAAGGGCAGTGGCTCAGAAAATGGACTGTAAAGAAAGGCCATAGGCATCTGGACTGGCCAGAAAGGGGTACCATGGGAGAAAAAGTAGTCCCAAGCTGAAGCCAGACAAGTGTCTAACCGTGGTTAGTCTCCACACTCCCCAACCCACCTTAAGCAGCATCCTAGCCACCTGCAGCAAGCAAACGCCCTTGGGAGGGTCTTCTCGCACATGCCACTGTCAACCTCCCACTGTCCTGTGTACATGTGCTTTAGGAAGAAAGTGACGGCCATTGCTTCCAACCTGGAGTGCAATGCAGGCCACAGAAAGATGTACCGGGCTCATCCTCAGCTTCACGCACACTAACCCAGGAGACGGCCATGACCCTGTCTCCTACAGATAGAGTTCTGCAAACAGAACGGGGAGCTTGTCTCTGCCGTGTCCTTGTCCCACCGCTGTCCCTGTTTCCTGCCTTTATTGCTTGACAGTCATTGTTAATCACTCCCCGTCCTTCCACTGACATCTCCCATGACCCAGAAAACCCCGCACTGCCGTAAGAACCAGAACTGTAAGCCTCCCCTTAACGACACTGGGAACTGCCCAGGCCACTGAAGTACTCATGAGTCCACCAAACACCCTAGAGGTGTTGCTTTGCAGAAGCAGTGTGTCACTTGTCATCACAATACCCTGGACAGGTGCACCGGGCCAGACAGCAGGGCTGGCACAGAACCCAGCACCCCAGGAGCCCAGAAGAGCACGAGGTCACTGTTTAAAGATGCAGAGTGACACTGATCTCACAGGCTTACTATAGACCTTTCTCCCTCTCTCCTCTCTTTCCTCCTCTCTCCTCCTCTCCTCTCTCTCTTCTCTCTCATATTCTCTCTCTCCTCTCTTTTCTCCCTCTCCCTCTCTCTCCTGTTCTTTCTTCCTCTCCTCTCTGTCCCTCTCCCTCCCCCACCTCTAGGGTCTTACTATAAAGCACATACTGGCCTGGAATTCATCATGCCCAGCTACTAGAGAGTCCCATCACTGAGCACATCCGCATGAACAAAGCCCCTACTGTGTGCACCATCCTCACAGGGCCCGTGGCCAGAGTCCCCTTACATGTGGACTCTGTTGCCTCGTTGAGATGATCTTTGCTGGAAAGGAACAGACTGCTCCTGTGCTAGGAGAGGAGGTGGCATGGAGGAGAAGGACATCCCAGAAGAGCACGAGGCCCAGCCGTGAAGGCGGTACATAGCAGATACAAACCGCAGGCTTAAAAGGCAGCACCGGGGCTGTAGCTCAAGTGTACCTACCTGACACGCAGGAGGCCATAAGCTGGATCCCCAGGACTAGCAGACAGGGTAGGAGAGAGGAGGGAGGGAGGGAGGGGAGGAGGGAAAAGGGGAGGAATTCTAGTTTATCATTCTCACAGCATCTCCAGTACTCCTATTTCCCAGAAGTAATCATGAACTTAGTCATTTTTCAGTCCCTCTGCTTAAACTCCTACATATCAACAGCCTGTGTTGTACCACAAATTGAACAGAACAGATGGAATCCAGAAACTAGTCGGAGCAGCCTTACCTGAGCTATGCTACGAGGAGCCCTGGGCACTGGGCTTTTCCCTCCGTGCTCATCCTGATGAATGACGAATGTAGCCAACTCTTGGAACACTGCTGGTCTTTAAGAAAACTCAGTAATCCACAGCGAGCTGTATTCCATCCTTGAAGATGAAACATTGGGCAGATTAGATGCACAATGGGCCTTTTGTGGACACCCTGCCCCCTGCTAATCGCTGGAGATACAATACAGGACACGTGGCTGTGCACGCTCAGAAGATTCCCATGGTGTGTTTTTCTTGCTGCTTAAGCTGGCCACAAGCTGCGGCGCTTTTCTGTGGATCAACAGAAAACAGATCGACAGCACCAACAGAAAAGAGCCAGGCGCAGCTGTGTCCACACGCGGCTTCCCCTCTGCCCTTAGCATCCCAAAGTGCTCTTACTAGGTGATTGCAACCTTCCAGCCTCAGGGTTAGGGTCATTCTCTCTGCCTGTGTGACTAGCAGGGAAGTGGAGGCAGGGTGAGTAGTGACCTCCCCCCAAGATTCAAAGTTTGTTAATGGGGCTGGGATCCTGGGACCAGCATTCTCTCCTGTCTTGACCAGCTGGTCACTGCTAAGGGCGGAGTCTTTCTCACAGTCCCCCATCTGGCCTTCTGTCTCCCTCCTTGTTTCTCTAGTAAGTCTATTTTGAGCAGTGCTTAGCATGTCCTTTTTGTTTTTAAGTTTTAAAGTTACGTTTTTACTTATTTCTTTCCTGGGGGCACGTGCAGGGTCAGAAGACTTGGAGTCAGTTCCCTCCTTCACCAGGAACGAATTTAAGTCACCACACTTGGCAAGTGAGGCACTCCTGCCCGCTGAGCCACTTTTTCACGTGCCTGGTTTTGGGTTTTTGGAGAGAAGGTGTTCTGCACCCAAGGCTGGCCTCAAACTCACTGTGTAGCAACTGAGAGTGACTTCCTGGTCGTCCTGCCTCTATGTCCCATGCACTAGGGTCACAGGTCTGCAGCATCATAACTGGCTTTAGAATATTTTGTCATCGGGCCTGGGGATTGAGTTCAACCCCATGGCATGCTGAGTGAGCACTCTTCCTCCGAGCCACATCCCCAGCCCTCACATCCTCCTCAGAATAACCTTTGCCCCAGGACCGTCCAGTTCCTTTCAGTGTCAAAGTTCCTCTCCTCTCTCTCATAAACGTGGGGAAGTGACAGTTGATTGTGACTTAAAACAACTTAAAAGTTAGATTTTAAGAATGAAGCTCTACCCTGGTCAGAACCAAGGACTACTGACACAAGCTTTTTTAGCAAGGAAAGTGGGCAATGGCTGTCAAAGTCCACATGTGAGTGCCCTTTGACCAGAGGTTCCTACATAGTTATCTAACCAAGGCCATGGTGCATTGGGCAAACTAGGAAAAGGAACTCCTCTGAGAAATGATTTTATGTCCATCTGCCATAAAGTAACTTCAGTAAATGCTTAAAGTTATGAGATCTATAGTGAGCAGTGCCCACCGTGTGCAGGATGCTGTTTCTGCCTCTGTAGGCGTCAGCCCTGGTTGTTGATGATGGCAAGGTATAAGAGGACATTATCGGCAAAGGATATTTATTAGAATAGCAAAATAAATGTTGCAAATGCCTGCCGGCACAGAATAAACTAACTATATTAGAACTTCTCATCATGTATTTATTTACTTAGAAACTGTTTCATATCACTCAGGCTAGCCTGGAATTCACATTGTAGCTGAGGATGGCTCTGAAATTCTGGTACCCCACCTCTGCGTCTGTTTTGCTTGTTGCTGGGGATTGAACCCAGGGCTCAAGCACAGGAGGTCAGTACTGTACCAACTAAGTGACAGCCCAGCCCTCTCTTACTGCTAGACGGCATAATAGTAGGGTGCATTGTAAAAAAGAATGAGTCAAATCTCTGCCTGCTGGCCAAGGAAACAGTGAAGCTGTAGCAAGTGGCAAATACCCAGGTGCATAAGAAACTTCTTATACTGCACTTCAGCGTCTGTGCATCTTTTAAAAGCAAAAGAAGCCGGGGCTGGAGGCACGGCTCAGCTGGTAAGAGTGTTACCTGCTCTTCCACCTTGGTGGCTCATGACTGCCTGTACCAAGAGCTCCAAGGGAGTTAATGCCCTCTCTGGCCTGCGCCTGGTACCTGCACACATATGGATCATGTACGTAAGTAAAAATAAACCTTCTTTAAAAAGAGATAATCTGGAGTGCCTTGTTTTCTCTTAAAAAAGATATTAAAGAAGTCACTAACAAGAACCTCCTAGGACAGCAATTGCGTGAGGGAGAAAATGGTTTAAATGTACACACCCAGGGACTATTTGCAGCTTATTGTTAAAAGTAGTTACCTTCATTTTTTAAAATAAAGATTATTAGAGTAAAAAAATGACAGGTCAGATTTTCCCCCCTGTATCTTTTAGCATAAAAATAAAAGCTATAAGGTACTTTTTCCTTATTCTGTACATTCCCCCAACAGAATACACTATAAAAAGAAAGAAGATGGCACAGTTCTGAGCAGTGAAGGGGGAGACAGATCTCTCTTCATTTGCCCCTTGATGCAGGCTTCCGGAGACAGAGTTGACATGTGATATACAACCATACATTTATTGTAGGAGAAGCGTATCATGAGGCATGTTCCTATCTCATGAACTCAGACCTAGCTGAGGACCTACCCAGCACTGGACAGGCCAGTCACCCACTGTCCACTTCCTCCTCACAGGCTGAGTGAGTGTGGGGGAGGGGTACACCTGTCCTTCTCCCTTCTGACTGTCCCTAGAGGAAGATTTCTAGGTACGTGATCCAGAAATTTAAACCACTATTGGAATTTATAAAAGGAAAGGTGAATTCTTATTACAAACTCTATGCCACATATGCACTCCTCCAAATGAATATTTATTCAGCGTACATACATACATATTTTTTTAAAAGAGGTCCAGGTAGTGATGGCACACACCTTTAATCCCAGCCTTCAGAAGGCAGGGCAGTCGGATCCCTATGAGTTCAAGGCCAGCCTGATTTACAAAGCTACACAGAGAAACCTTGTCTCGAAAAAAAAATGGATAAGAAAAGGACTTTGATGGGCAAAAATTACATTTAAATAACGTAGCAACCCCAAATCTAACAACAGAGTGACATATCTATAAGTTTCCAAAGAGGAAACATTTGTGTTGCACAACATTTAATTTTTTTTTCCTTTCGGGGTAGAGAGATGACTCAGTGGTTAAGAGCACAGACAATACTGCTCTTACAGAGGACCCCAGTTCAGTGGCCAGCACAGTCACAGGTGGCTCACAACAGCCTGAGACTCCAGCTTCAGGAGGGCCTCTTCTGCCCTCCCAAGGCACGTGTGCTCAGGTGTGCAATGCACACTCACATATACACACTCACACCTAAAAAATAATAAAATTAATTCTTAGAATTATTTTCCTTTCCAGGATGGATGATCCTTATAAAAACAGAAAAGTTTTCTTCTTTGGATTTTGCATTTTGTAGCAAGAATCTGTTCCAATGTCAAGGCACCAGACCTTGACTTTGACTACAAACTATGAACAGTTTCGTGTAGGCTGAATACAGTCCATTCTTGTAGGCACTACAAAAGAGGTTTTACTGGCCTCTTTCTGGGGCAAGCTCTTCTCCTGCACACCAGAGCAACAAATATTTCATCTTTAGAATTTCTGTTGGCAGACTGATTAGAGTATTTATTTGCTTATCATCTTTGCCGGACTGTCCTGACTATATCATTAAACAAGTATTGATTTATTCATTAAACTTTTATCAGGAATCTTCTAGGTCCCTGGCTCTAAGCCCAGCAGTAGAGCCCAGGGAAAATAAAGATGAATAAAAGATTAAAAATTATATGGTTCCATCCTTAAAAGACTTAGACTTTTCTGTTCAATGTTCACTCTGCCATTTGCTCTATACTCGGAGCCAGGACTACCGAGAGGTAAAGGATTAGGGAGGCATTTTGACCTTAGGTTTCTGCAGGGTGTGCCTGAGATTCAGCCTGAACTCTAGGGCTCCAGTTTCAGCTTGGGTCTAGTTCTGAATACAATAGTTTCACTGACAGAAAGATCATTTAGTGTCATTTTACATAAGATAATTCCAAGTGGTTGTGTGCCCTGAATAGAATTCTCTAGACATTAAGTAGCAGAAATAGGACCTAAACCTATGACACAGGCTCTTGGCTTCATTAAAGTTCTCCAGAGACACAGGACCGAGAGGCACATCATAAAAGGGGGATGCTGCCGGGCGGTGGTGGCGCACTCCTTTAGTCCCAGCACTCGGGAGGCAGAGGCAGGCAGAGCTCTGTGAGTTCGAGGCTGGGCTGGACCAACAGCCTCCAAAACAATACAGAGAAACCCTTTCTCGTAAAACCAAAATAAAATAAAATAAAATAAAATAAATAAAGGGATGCTTCCAGAGTCCTTGCAGGAACCAAACTCCATGAATGCCCGAGTCCCTTGTCTACACATAACCTCCCATATATCTGAAGTCATCTCTAAAAGATTTACAATGCTTACTACACTGTAACTGTTATATAAATGGTTTGTTACATTGTGGGGAAAATGTGCCATTACATAAAATGATCCATAATTAATTGAACATACATTTTCAAAACCCTATCTGTAAGTGATGAGAAAGACAGGTTAAACTACACTGAAAGGGAGAGAGATTTTAAGAAATTGGTCCACACAGTTGAAACTTGGTAAGCCCAAAGCTCATGCGATTCGCCCACAGGTTGGAGGTAGAGAGTTAAGCTGTGGCCTAAGATCAAGGACTTTCGCTTCCAGAATTTCCTCTTGCACAGGGGAAGTCACTCTTTGTTTCTTTGTTCTGTTCAGACCCTCTCCTGACCAGTGAGATGTTTGCATTACTAACAAGGAGAGTCTGAGGGATTCAAAGCCCAACCAATATGAACTCATCCAGAAGTCCCTCCACAGAAACAACCAGTCAGATGGCAAGCCAGCCAGATGGCTGGGGATCGGGTGGAAAGATGCTCACTGCCATGCCTTGTGACCAGAGTTCAATCCCTAGAACCCACATGGTAGAAAGCAGAGAACCAATTCCCTCAAGCTGTCTTCTGACCTCCTCCATACATGTATTCTGTCATCTCCTCCCCCATCTCCACACACACTTACATCAAATAAATGACTAAATATAAAAAAGAAAAGTAAGTTTGATCAGAACACTAGGCATCTTTGACCAGCCCAACTGACACATAAAATTAACTATCACCCTAAACAGGCATAATATTTATATCCTGTAATGTAAAGGCAATCATTCTTAGTTTTTTTTTTTTAACTTTTCCTCCTCTGTTGTGATCTAAGCCAATTCTTCTCCCAAACGTTACTCTGATTCGGGTCAGTTATTATTTGAACATGAAATATCCCCCTCCCCAGGCTTCTGTGTTGGAGGTCCAGCCCTTACCACTATTTTGGGGTGTTGTGGCAGATTTAGGAAGCAGGATCGCTGGATGAAGAGGGTCCCGAGCAACTGGTCTTTGAGAGGTCTTCTGCCACGCTATTCCTGGGGAAAGGAGAGCAAACATCTCTTCACCCTAGATAGGCACGAGAACAGACCAAGATAAGGATACTACCAAAGTCCAGCTTGGATAAGAAGCAAGTTTACTGAGGCCCTAACAGGAGTATGTGGCGGGGAGGCAGCAGCATAGACAACTTAAAAGCAGTTTTGTCTCCCAAAAGCCCACCACAACATGGGTGGTGACCCACAAAAGCTGGAACCCCAAACCTCTCCTGAGGTTGGAGAAATCGCTCCTCAAATATCCCTAATGCCTTGTGGAGGGAGGGACCTTGGGGATCTGGCAAGTTTCGGGTACTTCCTAAAACTTGTGACGTGTTTACTTCCTAAATCCTAAGGACCCTTCCTTTAGAACTTTCTGTGTCTTAATGGACCTCCATCAGGGATGGGATGTTTCAGGTAGGAGGAAATCCATATACAACAGAAATATAAAGTCCCAGCTCCACCCACCCCTTTCCCGGCTGCCGGAAAGAACCTCAGCTTCCATGTACTCTGCCACCATGAAGCTCTCTGCTCTTGCATGAAAAGAAGTTATCCATAGACTAAGCTAACTCTGGAACCAAGAAAAAATACATCATCCCTTCTTTTGAGTTGTTCTCGTGGGTATTTAGTCACGATGACACAAAGTAGACTAACACAGGAGCCTTCCGAGACCCCTGCCCAATTGTCTCTACCCTTTTTTCCACCAATCTACCCAGGATATTCCTTTTGGGGTCATATTTCCGGAACATAAAACCATGCTACCACTTTCTGGGGGACCTCGTTGTGAATGAAATATACACACTGTAGGTTAGCATCGCAGCTTATCAGTGCCTGGGCTGGTCAGCCCATGTACTGAATAATTTTTGTCAACTTGACACAGACTGAAGTCTTCTGAGACAAGAGACCCTCAATTGAGAAAATGGGAGGGTCCATCCCATTACAGGTGCCATCCTGGGCTGGTGGTCCTGGGTTCTATAAGAAAGCAGGCTGAGCAAGGCATGAAGAGCAAGCCAGTAAGCAGCAGCACTCCTCCATGGCCTCTGCATCAGCTCCTGCTTCTAGGTTTTTGTTCTGGTTGAGCATCTGTCCTGACTTCCTTCAGTGAGAGCAGTGATATGTTTCTTCCCCAGGTTGCTTTGGCCATGATGTTTCTTCACAGCAACAGAAACCCCAACTAAGATGGCCCAGCCTACCAGAGTTCTGGTCTGAACAGTTGGCTATCTGGGCAGTCCACACTGTCTACTCCGCCCTGCTTCTCACAGGCGCACGCACAGTTTTTCTCACACGCAGCTCTTCTCCTCCAAAACTGTCTGCCTTCCTGTCCATTTGTCATGGCCTAGACCAGGCAAAAATACCTTTGTCCTCGATTAGCTAGCTGTTCCTTCCAGGTCTTACTCAGACCTTGAACTGAAAGGCTTCCTGACCCACCCCTCTCCACGTACGTCATGTTCATGCCTTTACCTTGGCCAGTTTGCATAGCAACTCCACAGGAGTCGGTCCCCCCATTAGCTTTTCCTGGGCCCCATTTCAAGTCTGTGATGCCAGCTCAGGGTTTGAGGCATGAAGGGCCTCTAGCAATAGGTCCCCAATCCTGTGAGCCTTCAGTCTTCACACACTCTGAACATGTTCCTTCCATTTAACAGAGCAAGCACAGGTTTGAAGCGTTCCTCGCACTCGAATTTAATCCTACAGAAACAAAACAACCATTATAACACTTTGCTGGCTTAAAAAAACATGTTTTCTTCCTTCCCAATAGCCAATTAAAGGTTAAAAAAACAGCTTGCCAGGTGGTGGTGGTACGCACCTTTAATCCCAGCACTTGGTTGGCAGAAGCAGAGGCAGAGGATCTCTGTGAGTTTGAGGCCAGCCTGGTCTACAGAGTGAGTCCCAGGACAGGCTCCAAAGCTATAGAGAAACCCTGTCTCAAAAAATAAAAAAAGAAAGAAAACAAAGGGGCATTTCCCCATCTACAGAGACTTTACTGCTACCATCAAATAGACAGTGTTAACCAGGAACAGCACCAAACTGGGATGTTCGGTGTAGGTGCTGGAGAGATGCCTGGGAACACAGCTAGTGTGGTCATAAAGCCTGATAAACAGGCAAATAAAGAGGGAACTGTTCAGTGGGCAAGCTTCTAGAAGAGTGTAAAGATCACCACTCTTTAACAGGATTTTTTTAAATTAAGTAGCTGGCAGTTGTGCTTTTTAAAGCAAGTATAGATGAAGAGTTGTCTTCTAGTCTGTTTTTAGGGTTTGAGTTTGGGGCTTTCTACGGATCTGAAGAAAGTTATGAACGAGTCTCAGTGCCAGGACTCTGGAGACACACTGCTCATGTGAGAGTCTTCAGGGGAGGAGAACTACTCAGCTGTCAGGCCTTCTCTCTGTCTTCAATACCAGGCAGAAAGATTTACAATACTTCTATAGTCTTTTCTAGGGTGTGTGTTTCATTGAAATAACTTTTGTTTGGTCTGGGTTGAGTAAACCACAGTGAGATGCTATTTATTGAATGTGTGTTCTGGATGCAACGTGGTTTACACATACAAGGAAGCAAACAGATGAAAGAGGACAATGTTGCCCTTAAGAAATGCCTGGGAAAGGCTGGCAAGATGGTTCAGCAGGTAAAGGCGCTTATCCTCCAAGGCTTATCGCCCAAGTTCAATTCCCAGGACTCCCCTGGTGGGAGTAGGGAGCTTTCTCCTTCAAGTTCCTGCAAGTCGTCTCCAGATCTCCACCTCTCCACATGTGTGCACCACAGCCCCACTAAGTAAACAAACAACATTTCTGAAGAGAGTGGCATAGGTGATTACAAACCAAACTAGTGTCCCCAGTTCAGTTCTCCAAACTCTGTACCACATCCCACAACACAATATCCAACCGATCTCTCTGATTCCACCTGCTCAGCCCATCTTCAGGTCCTTGTCTTTAAGAGGTCTCTGCAATGCTACAGCCAACAAACATTATGTAACAGGTGGTTCTAGGAGTAGACAGGGAAATTTCCTTGGTGGTCTGAGCTAATGAACTTCCATCTGTTTATTCTGGCCATGTTCCTCTTCATTTGAATGAACCAGATCCAATGAAACGTAATCCATTTTTATAATTTATAATTTTTTAGATAATGGTTGATTTCAAGTTTGACTATTTTTTCAAGTTTTTTTAAAAAGGTTTTTTTATTATGTACACAGTGTTCTGTCTCCATGCAAGTCTGCACACCAGAAGAAGGCACCAGATCTCATTATAGGTAGTTGTGAACCATCCTGTGGTGGCTGAGAATTGAACTCAGGATCTCTGTGCCCTTAACTTCTGAGCCATTTCTCCAGTCTATATTTTGAGACAGGGTTTCACTGTGTAGTCCTGCAACTTGCTCTGTACACCAGGCTAGTCTTGAACTCAAAAGATTTTGTCTCTGAAGTGTGTGCCACTACCATTCAGTCGAGCTTCACGTTTAAAACCGACGTACTTATTTTTACTTATTTGTGTGTGTGAGCCTGCATGAGTGTCTGTCTCCATGCATTGCCTGTCTATAGACTGATCTTCTTGCACTATCTGGTCATCCCCTTTATCCATTTATTACTCACAATTCAAAAGAATTTGGAAAAAATCACATTTGCAATGAACATATGATAGCTTTCTTATACTACTTGTGTCCCTTAGGGAACAATGATGACAACTATTTATACTCCATTTAATTTGTACACGTTACCAGAAGCCATCTAGAAAAGGCCTAAAGTATACTAGAGAATGTGAAACGCATTTCGTCCCATAGACTTGAGTATCCAGGATTTGAGTGCTATGGTTTTGGATGAAAATGGCCCCCAGAAGCTCACATACTTGAATGATGGGTCCCCAGTTGGTAAAATAGTTTTGGGAATTGTGGTGGTTTGAAAGAAAAGGCCCCCAAAGGGAGTGACACTGTTAGGAGGTGTGGCCTTGTTGGAGTAGGTGTGACAGACAGTGGACTTCCTACTGCTTTGTGGTCAAGATGCAGCACTCTCAGCTTCAGCGTCATGTCTGCCTGCTCCCTGCCATGAAACCTCTGAACTGTAAGCCATCCTAATTAAATGTCTTCTTTATAAGAGTTGCAGTGCTCATGGTGTCTCTTCATAGCAATAAAAAACCTAACTAGGACAGAAGAGATTAGGAGGTGTGGCCTTCTTGGACAAAGTGTGTCACTGGGGGTGGGCTTTAAGGTTTAAAAAGCCTGACAGGCCCAGTGTCTCTCTCATTCTCTTTCCCTCCCTCCATTCTGCTAGTGAATCAGACGTAAGATACTGCTCCAGGGCTAAGCTTGGATTTGTAATAAGCATAAGGACCACTTCTATTGATGGAGGATGAGAAGTGCATGGGACCTTTTTCATGAGGATGGGCTTCATAAACACAGACAAAGCTCAGGATTGGGGGAGGGACTCAGGAAGACTTGCTCCATGGAATAGCAAAAAGATCATGGGGTTAGACAACATCCACCCCAGCCTTCCAGGTGATGAGGCATTAGTCATTTTCTTCCTTCGGGGGCTTGTGTATTTAACAGTTCTGGTTCCTTCGATGCTTTCCCTAAGCTGTGCCTCTATAATATATGAGAAATAAAATGTAATTTCTGAATGTTTAACTTAGTCTAATTAATCCACAGTGTCAGCCAGCTTCCTGAAAATGACGTAATTTCATTCTTCATTGTGGCTGAATAAAACTGCATTATGGAGGTGGGAGAGACGACTCAGCTAATTAAGAACACTTGCTGCTCCTGAAGAGGATTTGAGGTTGGTTCTCTGCACCCATGTCAGGTAGCTCACAAGTCATCTGTGACTCCAGCTTCGTGATATCTACTTGGTGCTTTCTCTGGCCTCTGAGGGCACCTGTACCCATGTGACATACAGACACATAAATAAAAAAAACATTATGTATATAAGCCATATTGTCCATATCCTGCCACCTGCTGATGGACATCTAGGCTGATCCCTAACTTAGCCGTGGCCCCAGTGCTTAAATAAACATGGATGTAGTAGTTCCTCTGTGCTAGGCTGAACCCTCTGGATATATCCCAGCAGTAGTATAACTAGGTCGTACTGCTGTCCTATTGTGTTACAAGGACCTTCTATATCAAGTCTCACAGTAATTTCAATAATTTGCATTCCTACCAAGTGTCATATGAATTCCTTTATCCCCTCTGTCCTTGTCAGCATTGGTTGCTTTCTTGATGAGTAGAACAGAATAGAAGATACTCTGATGGATATAATTCAATGCAGGTGCAGTCTCAGCTACTCAGGGGGCTGAGAGGATCACATGAGCCCAGAAGTTCAAAGCCAGCCTGGATAGTATAGTACAACTCTGTCTCTTAAGAAAGATGAGGCCGGGCGGTGGTGGCGCACGCCTTTAATCCCAGCACTCGGAAGGCAGAGGCAGGTGGATCTCTGTGAATTTGAGGCCAGGCTGGACCGACAGCCTCAAAAAACAATACAGAGAAACCCTGTCTCGTAAAAACCAAAAAGAAAAAAGAAAAAATGAAAACAGCAGAACGTGCCTTACCTAGTGATGTGAAAATGGTTTCTTGAAATTTCTATTGCAAGTTTGCATGTGTGTATGTTTGTTTCGAGTTAACATAAAATAGATTTCTTACAGTCAAAATATTAAGAGACTTATTGAAATATTGAAGTACTAGGGTAACCCACAAATGTACACAGTTTTGTGTGCCTATCAAAACTTTAAAAAAAATTAAGCCTCTGAACTAAATGTGAATTCCCACAAAGGCGCTCATTAGCTACCTGGCAAATATTTGTGGGACTGAATTGATTTGCTTGTGTGTTTGCAAATTTACTTAATGAACACTGAGACTGCATCTGTGATACTGACCCTTGCATCTTTTATCTAAGTTTATTATAAAGAGAAGATACCCACAGGCTGTCAACAGTTCATGGAGGTCAATAAAGGTTCTTTTGCTGAGACAAATCATCCTGTTTACCAGGACTGCTTCATAATCTTTAATTTGCCTTCAAACCCCGCCTGCTTTAAGGAATGGAACCTGCCCAGGAGAGCCCGCAGTGCAATGGGCCATCAGCAAATACAGTCTCCCATTTCTTACCAGCTCCAGGAACAACGGTTCTCTCCCAAGCCAGATCTTCCCTCACAGCATGTGTGAGCTGCGTCCTATGGTCCTCATAGATGACATCATAGGTCCTGACCCCCAGTTGTTCTGGCCTTCAGTGCTGAGCACTTTGTAATGTCCTTTCCCGAGGCTGCACTGCTGTACCCAGTACCTGGTACCTAGCACGTCCCTGAGGCATATTCTTTCCACCAGGGGACACAGGTTCCTGTTGTCCTGAGTCACCACAGCGTTTCATTTTGTTTGCTTTTTCTTTTCCCCGTTTCTTTTTTTTAATGATAAGGTAACTGAAGCTGGCCTGGAGCTTATGAGGTAGCTCAGCTTGGCTTGGAACTCGTGGCAACCCTCTTGTCTTAGCTTTGCCAGCGCTGACATTACATAGGTGTGTGCCAACATGTCCTAACATTACCACGGCTCTCAGTGCTCAAGATGGACCCCAAAGATCTTATGCTGCACCCCGGGAACCTGCAGCTTGCTGGGCCCAGGACACCCCCACAGCTCCTCTCTCCTGCGGAGTTTTCTGCCTGGCTGCCTTAGTGGGGACAGGTCTATCAGTGGAAGAATGCAGTAATGACTAACCTTTGCCCTTCTGGTAGCCACCTACTGTGAGGCTTTGAAGGCCTTGAGGGTGAGGAGGACAAAGCTCCCTGCAGCCCTCTTCCTGTCTCAGTCTCCCTCCTCCAAAGGAACCCTTCCTTTAACAAGGAACCAGTGTCACCAGGGTTACCAGTGTTCACAGCCTCCTCTAGTGCCTGCCATTGTTTCCAGAGGAAGTTCTTTACCTGTCTCTGCCACTCTACTGAAGGGTGGGCAAGTTCTACTGTCTAAACTCTGCAGCCCTGAAGCCACACTGTGGAAGCCCCAGCTGGGCCAGGCATGCTCCCGTGTCCCCCTCTAGAGCATTCGTAAGCAAACAGGTGGAGACTTAACACTTACACAGGAAGCGGCCGACATTTTGAGAGCTGTTTCCTCTGCTGTGGACTTGGTCTACCCTGCTCTCTTTAGGGTATTTGCCGGGCTTCCTTAGCTTCTCTTCAGTCAGACTCAGTCTTGGAATTACACCACTTCCTCCTCTTGAGTTTAGATTTCTCCAGAACCTAGCAGACACATGAATCATTACTAAGGAACCAGCTGCCTCTGTTGCCTGCCCTGGTCATGTACAGTTCATTCCAAGCCCAAGAGTATGAAAGAGCAACGTAGTCACCCTTCAGGACTGAATTTCCCAGACAAATGCAGCATTTCCTATATTCCCTTCCTCCAGAGTGATGAGTCATCACTAAGGAGGCTGTGTGAGCGGTTCAGTGGGGAGTCAGCCCTTCAAGACTCTAGAAGGGCTAGATGGACACTAGATCCCACTAGCTTCCTGGAGTTTACAAAGGGCTGGATCTGAGTACTCTTGGTTCCAGATTCAAACATCACACTTGCCACTGTTTGTGTCTCAGAGCTACTCCAGATTTCTAGAACTTCAATGCAGACAGCTCAGGAGTAGTACAAATCAGCAATACTCCAAAAGAAGCAGAACTGCTCAGACTCACGAAGGAGCTAACAAGATCCCCTTCAGAAAATGAGAGTCCTGGTCATTGATTGCAATGCAGAAGACTGGTCACTTTGCAGAATTCTCTATCCTAATGAAAACCTCTACTCAATGATGGGAGTTTAGGCTGCTAGCCAGCTCTAAGCGCTACAACAACAAAAAAAATTTTTTATGTGCTGGGAAGTTGGGGATGGTGGCTGGAGAGATGCCTCACAGGTTAAGAGCACTTACCACTTGCTCCTGCTGAGGATCCCAGTCCCTTACAGGTCCCACAACCCACAGCAGCTCACAACTGCCTATAAATCCAGTACCAGATAATTTACCGCCCTCTGCTGGCTCTATGGTACCTGCATGCAAGTGGTAACTAAACTCAAGCAGACACATGTACATACAAATAAAGATCGGATGGATGGATGGATAGATGGACGGACGGACGAACAGACAGACAGGGCCAAATGAAGCCTTACTTTGCCCTTCTATGAAATAGGGACAACACCACAGCCTTCCTTATCAGCTATGAAGATTGGATGAGAACTGTACTAAGCACTAAGCATCTATCACATAGGAAGTACTTAGTGAACATAAACTATTGCTATCATTGCTGCCCATTCTGAGAATTATTGAAGTGTAGGGAAAGTTATTGAGAATAAGCTGAGTGATACAGAACTCAGCAATCTAGGTCCTAACTTCAAAGTAAATACAGAGATTATGTCATGTGAACACTTCTTTGCTTGGCTACTTGAAAAACCATTAAACAACAAAATAAAAACATTCTAATAATATGGATTCCAGCCTGGCAGTGGTGACTCGTGCCTTTAATCCCAGCACTCAGGAGGCAGAAGCAAGAAGATCTCTGTGAGCTCAAGGCCAGCCTGGTCTACAGAGCTAGTTACAGGATAGGTAGGGCTGTTACACACAGAAACCCTGTCTTGAAGGAGAAAAAAGAATATGGATTCCAGAGTCAGATGTACTCAAATCCATTTCTTCTACTTCTGTCTTTTGGTCAGATTACTTAATCTCTGTGAAACTCAGCTTGTTCATGTCCCAAATGAGGATGACAAGGACTGAGTAGCAGGGCTGTCCTGAGGGCTAAAGAAGCCCCTGTTGTCACTCTTCTCTTCTGGTTCAGCGACAACATACACAAACAGTTCTCGGTCTACTCTATGAGAACCCTCTTCCCATGGACCATAGTAGCTCCCCACTACTATGTAGTAAACGCCTCATATTTGAAATGAATCTACTTGTGTGTTATATTAGGCATCTAGAGTCACCTGTGAATTTAACATGTGCTTAGTAAAAGCTTGCTGGGGCCCAACACAAAAGCCCATGCCATTCCCAGTAGTTCCCAATAGCACTCTCTCCCCCCCCCCCCCATACCTATCTGCCTCCTTCCATGTTCCCTGTCATGACTGTCACAGGTTAATCTCCTGGAATCATGAGCTCCAGATGAAATGTTTTCTTTTATAAGTGCCTTGGTCATGATATTTTAGAAAAGTAATAAGGCAGTTGCCTTGGTCATGGTACTTTATCACAGCAACAGAGAAAGAAATAAGGTACTAAATTTGGAGTTTTGTATAAGATGTGAAATAAGGGTCCTGTTTCATTCTTCTACATGTAGTTATCCAGTTTGTCCAGAAGCACTTTTTGAAGAGTCTATATTTCTCCAACGCATACTGTTGACTTTTGTTAAAAAAAACAATCAGGTGGCTGTAGGCATGAGGGCTTATGTATGGTTCCTAAATTCTGTTCCATTAGTCAATATTCCCATTTTAATCCCAGTACTATGCTGTTATTACTATAGATTTATAGTGTAACTTGAAATCTGCAATGATGATATCTTCAGCAGTTTTCTTGTTATTGTTCTGGGTTATTTTAGCTACCCAGGGTCTTTTGTGTTTCCATACAAAATCTAAGATTGGTTTTTCAATTTCTGTAAAGAGATATATTGGGGTTTTATGGGGATTGTATAGAATCTAATTTAATTGGTAGGTAGGCATTTTCACAATATTAATCTTGCCAATCCATGAGCATGAGAGATCTTTCCATCTTCATGTATCTTCAGTTTCTTTTTCAATGTCTTTCACTTGGTTGGATTATCTCAATATATTTTTGAGGCTATTAAGGAGGAATTGTTTGATTTCTTTCTTGGTTTGTTTATCGTTTACATAGAAGGATCCAGATTTTGTGTGTTATTTTTGTACCCTGCTACTTTTCTGACTGTGTTTATCATCTATAGAAAATTTCTGGTGAAGTTGTGAGGAGTTAGCAGGAAATAACTCAGGAACGAAGTCATAGAGAAAGAGATAACATTTCCATGGAGCAACTGTACTGTAAAGAGAGATAACACCGAGCCTTGCAGCTATGATACAACCTCACACCCCTTTGTCATGTCCTCAGATTAAGAACCATTCAGGCCAGGGAGAGTGAGTAATGGGAAAGAGGAGAGAGCCCGGGGTCCCTATAACAAGACCTACTCAGGGGCCACTTGGTGGTCTAGCTCTAGAGACCCTGCCTCACACAAAGGGTGCTTTCTGGTTGCTTCAATAAATGCTTCATTTTCCCTGAATCTTTACTCCATCATCTGTTCCTGGGTGTTTAGTTCTGTGTTCACCCTTGGAAGGGGCCCAAACCCCTAGACAGTGGACCTTTAGCTCAAGCTTCCCTGCTACAGAGTCTCTAATGTACAGAATCCTATCAATTATAAATACTTTGACTTCTTCCTTTCCTGTTTGTATCCATTTATTTCCCTCACTTGGCTTATTAACAATTTTGTCCAACTGTGAATCCTGTAAGCCAGAAAAATGATCACCCTGATAAGCCATGCCCACTGGTGCAATAGTGTTATGATGTCATGAGAGTAACCAACAACTTCCTAATTGGACTTCACCCTGCTTCACCGTTGAAACCGGTATCTGGTACCAATATCTGGGCCAAGGACCTGTGACAAGACATGCCACAGGCCCTAGGGGAGAACTTAACTACTCTTTTTTCTGCTAATGACTTCTTGTTATAACTGTAGACTAGTGCATCTCTCAACCTTCATCAGAGAAGCTTCTTTTGTAGCAGGTGGTCATTAACACAGAGTCCCACAGCTGATCAAGGTGCAGGGAACAGAAGACTGCAAAGTGTGCAGAACTGTTTTCCAGGTACAAAAGGGCGGGTGCACATGTGAACTCATAGCAGTTGAGACAGCATGCATGAGACCTACTCAAGTGCAAGCCAAACAAAGTCTGAACATGAGAGGGGCAATGGGCACAAAGTCCACCCCTTGCTTAGGAGCTATTGGCAATTGATAGCTGCTGGGTTTCTTTAAAGGTGCAGTCCTTGATGGGCTGACCATGTTCCATTGGAGCTGGTGAGCAACGCCATCTATACTTGACGGGTTTAAGAAAAAGAAGAGGACACAAAGTTCATAGAGAAGGAGGTGGATCTAGGAGGAGTTTTGGAGGGGGTAATGTGAACAAAATACCCTGTACAAAGCTCAAAGAAATGGTGGTGGTGATGATGATGATGATAATAATAATAATAGATAGTTTGGTGGATACAATGTTTGCTATGCAAGCCTGATGGCCAGAGTTCAATCCTAGGAACTCTGTTTCCAAAAGTTGTTCTCTTACCTTCACACATTCACTACAACAAACATCCATATGTGTGTGTATACATATATACACACATGCATGTGTACACACAATAATAATAATAATAGAAAGGAAATGGGAGGGAGGAAAGGAGAGAGAGGGAAAGAGGAGAGACTTATTTTAAGGAAATAGCTCACATTATTGCTAATGGCCAACTAAAATCTGTAGGGTGAGTTTGCATGCTGGAGACCAAGAAAGAGCTGTGGTTCAAATTCAAGTTTCTTCTTGCTCAAGGCAGGTTAGTGTTTATTCTACTCAACCCTTCAACTGGATGGCTAAAATCCACTTATGTGGGAACCCTCCTGACTCAAATTGCACTGACTAAACATGAAGCTCATAAAAAGACATTTTTACAGACTCATCCCAAATCATGTTTGACCAAGCATCTAGATGCCCTCACAGAGAAGCTGATATATAACATTAGCTGTGATGGACCACATAACAAGCTACCAAAGACAGGGGGCTTAAACAACAGGATGTTACCATCAAGAGTGTAGACAGCCGGGTCATGGTGTCGGCAGGCCTGGGTTCATCTAAAGTGCCTCCCCATGTCTTTCAATGATCTTTATCCATCTATGTCTGTGTCCCAACTTTCCATTTTTGTAAAGATACCAGTCACGTCTGATTAGCACACACCCTATTGACCTCACTGTAGTTCTTTAGAGGCCTATCTCTAATAGTCAGCTACACTCTGAAGGACGGAAGGGCTGCGGAGCGTTTAGCTGTATGAATTCCAGGGGAACACATTTCATATCATGCAGCTTATCATGACTAGCAGGCAATTCACTTATTTAGATGAACAGTTCAATGAGATGGGAGGATCTGCAGCTGTCTTCAAGACTGAAGCAACTGAGGCCCAGAAATTAGTTCAAGGCTACACACCTAGAGTCCAACAGGGAAAGGCC